TATCGATCCTATCGATCCTATCGATTCTATCGATCCTATCGATCCTATCGATCCTATCGATCCTATCGATCCTATCGATCCTATCGATCCTATCGATCCTATCGATCCTATCGATCCTATCGATCGTATCGATCCTATCGATCCTATCGATCCTATCTATCCTATTTATCCTATGTATCTAATCTATCTCTCTCTATCTATCTATCTATCTATCTTTCTATCTATCTATCCACCTATCTATCTATCTATCTATCTATCTATCGTTATGTTATATTTTACATATCTATCTTACTTATCTGTCTTACTGGTTTATCTCTCTATATCTCTATATCTTATCCACCTTGGTTTATGTATTATCTATTGTATCTATTTTATCTATCTTATCTACATTTTCTATCTTATCTATGCTGTCTGTTGTATCCAATGTATCAATCTTAGCGATCTTACCTTTATTTTCTATATTCTATATTTTAACCGACTTATAGATCGTATCTATCGTACCTTTCTCATATGTTTCATTTTTCTTATCTTTCCTATCCAGCTTATCTACCCGATGTATCTTATCTATGTGATCCAACTTATCTTTATTATCTAACATGTTCTTATACGATACATCTTACCCATCCTTTGTATTTATCGTATCTGTCATATCTATCTTATATTTCTTATCTATTTTATCGATCTTATCTATGGATCTATCTTGTGTATATGATCTATCTGATCTGTCTAATCTATCGAATGTATCCAGGGACGGTTCAATTCACACCTTTTCTCAGTGAAAATTTCAGGACCCTAAAATGGAGGTACTGTATCATATAAGGCCATATTTGATGGGGGTATTCCGGTATTCCCTTAGAGAATTCTTACCTAGCCCTCACATAGGCCTTATATATGATAGGTACCTCCAATTATGAATTTAGTTTCCTGAAATGGCCATTGATTTTCTAGGTGTTTATTGTTTGGGTAACCTTGGAACCTTAAGTTTTTGTTGTGCCATAGGAATACCCTAGGCAACTGCATGTTTTTTTTTTCCCCCACCTGCCAGGTGAGGGTTGTTAGATTTTATGTCAGTTGCCTCCTCCTCCTCCTCCTCCTGCCTCGTCCTCCTCTCCTCCTCCTCTCCTCCTCCTCCTCCTCTCGTTGTCCTCCTCGTCCTCCTGCTCAACTGCGACTCGCGATCCACAGTGTTCGCTGTCGGACCTCAACCACGACCATCCACGCCCAGTGTTCCCTGCCGGACCTCAACCACGACCATCCACGCCCAGTGTTCCCTGCCGGACCTCAACCACGACCATCCACGCCCAGTGTTCCCTGCCGGACCTCAACCACGACCATCCACGCCCAGTGTTCCCTGCCGGACCTCAACCGCGAGTATCCACGCCAAGTGTTCCCTGCCGGACCTCATGTAGGAAGATATGGGACAAAGAATGTGCAGAAGAAAGTTAGAAAGAATGTCAGAAAGAATGTCAGAAGATATGCAGAAGATATGCCAGAAGATATGCCAGATAGAATGCCAGATAATATGCTAGAAGATATGCCAGATAGAATGCCAGATAGAATGCCAGAAGATTTGCCAGATAGAATGCCAGAAAATATGCCAGAAGATATGCCAGATAGATATGTCAGAAGATATGCAGAAGATATGCCAGAAGATATGCCAGAAGATATGTCAGAATATATGCCAGAAGATATGTCAGATAGAATGCCAGAAGATATGTCAGAATATATGCCAGAAGATATGCCAGATAGAATGCCAGAAGATATGTCAGATAGAATGCCAGAAGATATGCCAGATAGAATGCCAGAAGATTTGCCAGATAGAATGCCAGAAGATATGCAGAAGATATGCCAGATAGAATGCCAAATAGAATGTCAGAAGATATGTCAGATAGAATGCCAGAAGATTTGCCAGTAAGAAAATGTATAAATGTCATGGTGGGGATCACACGAAGTAAAGTAATTGTGGTAATGGTACGTAGTTTTTGCCGTTAAAGTAAGCCCAGAACAAAACCTAACCCATTCATGTTCCAGAATCATTTTTGGGGGTACATGGGGGGTACGTATGCCACAGGAAAGGCACCCCACTTAGAAGTTGATGTGTAACTCGTTGTCATCCCATTTGATGACATTCACTGATCCCAAATACATTATTTACCAACTTACCTATCATCAAATCACATTTCTTGACTACATCACCATTAAACAATTGATGAATGTGATGAAATTATCATGTTTGATGGTTAAATCAGTCAAATCCCATTTTTTCCCGCAAAGCTCCCATGTTTGATGTTAAAATCCGTCGTTGTTCCCGGTGAATTTCCCGTTTTCTCGGGGCTCAAAACCTCGCGTCGATAATGGAGGAGACTTCCGACTGTTCAGACCTCTCGTCCTATACCTCGGAACAGGGGACGCATTACCCTCGCTCGGTTTCTTGGCGAGCAAAATGACAAACCTTGGATATACTTGGTTCATATTTATCCCTTGCTATCCTATTAATATCTCAATGAATCACAATTTTTGGTACTCAATGATTTAAATCTCCTGTGGGGCCCCCCAGTTGTGTTTGTTGGTTTCAAAACCCTAGGAATACCATAGTTATAAGTACCATACTAAGCCAACTTAGCTATCGTTTGGGGCCCCCACTTTGTACAGTATGGATATATAAACCACTCTGGTTTGTGGAATTTTGAAATATGTTTGAATAACTAAGCAATTACTAATCTATATGGAAAAACAATAGAACATATTTTAATGGAATAATTTTAGATCGCAATGCACACACACTTATAATAACTAAACTGACTAATATCATGACTAATGGGAATTACGGTGGAATTAGCTCATTATTTCAAAATATAAATGGAAAATGGGGGGTTGACCAATGGAATTTTGGAAATTATAGTTGACAAAACCAATGGCTAACAAAGCCATGTGGTGCCGCAGTCCATCGCAGTTCGGTTCGTTAGATCCGTTGCAGAACATAACTCCAACAACTTGGGCTTATGGTAGAGGCCTGGGGGTTTCCATGCGGGTACCCGAAAAAAGCTGGATGGTTTTTGTTGGGGAACGTCCGATTTATAAATGGATGATGAAATGGGGTACCCCTATTTTGAGAAACCTCCACATATCTAACAGGCGTATTTTTCATGGCCCACATGATGCAACGGCAGTTGGGGGTGCTGTGGAGCCTCAATTTCCCAACTTATGGTGGCTACTACCATAGTTATTGCCACTAATAGCCTGAACCCCAACGTGGTAAACCCAATACAAAACCATACCCGTTTTTTGCCAGAAAGGGTTTACCACATTAAATTTTGAGTTAGGCCGGTTATAACGGGGATTTTCACATGAACACATAGGCGCACGATTCCTGAAGTTGTTTCCCTCAGCCTGGGTTTGTTTCGCCCATGATGTTTCATTTCCGTTCATTTTCCTTGGATCAATGGCCATTTCAGGATCCTAGATTGGAGGTACCTACCATATATAAGGCCTGTGTAAGGCCTATCTAAGGGAATATCCCCCCAAAATATGGCCTTATATGGTACAGTACCTCCATTTTAGGATCCTGGAATTCCCATTGAAATAGGGAATGGTCTTCATGTTTGGCATTTTAAACAGTCCAAGTAGTAGGCCGGGCGAATGATCATGCTGTCGCAAGAATTCCACCATTACATATGCTTACATTATATCTCTGGGTAAATTATAACGACCTCACTGTTCTCCCGAACCCTGGAATCATAGTTAATAAGGGAAATCATCCCCAAATGGGCCGCAAGATTCAGGTTAGTGTTATGATATCATTACTCCAGACAAAGTGGGGTATCTTGAAAAAAATAAAAAAACAAAAACGGACTCAAAACAGGACTCAAAAAAGAGTAGGCCAGGGAGAACCAGAAACAGGACGACTCAAAAAAAAATCAAAAACCGACTCAAAAAAGAATCAAAAACCGACTCAAAGAAAAATCAAAAAAGAATCGAAAAAAATAAGAACAATCAAAAAAGAATCAAAACTGCAGCAAAATGCAAAAAAAAACAACAAAATGCAGCCAAATGGGCAGAATGAAGCAAAATTGTTGATTTTCCTCGTATTTTTTCTGGTGTTCCTCTTTTTTGCTCCAAGTTTGTTGCATTTTGCTGCAGTTTTGATTCTTTTTCGTTTTTTTTTGATTCTTTTTTGATTTTTTTTGATTCTTTTGTGTTTTTTTTTTGAGTCGGTTTTTGTTTATTTTTTTGAATCGTCCTGTTGAGTATGTTTTTGTGTTTTTTGTGAATCGTTTTTTTCAGTTGATTGTTTTAACAAGTCTGTTTTTGAGTATGTTTTTGTTTTTTTTTTGCTTTTCATTTTTTTTGGCAAAAACAACTCTGTGTGGAAGTCGTGATGTCATAAGGTTAGTGACATATTATAATTTACCCAGAATCTATATATATATATATACATACTGGTTGGTGGTTTCAACCCCTCTGAAACATATTAGTCAGTTGGGATTATTGCTCCCTATATATGGAAAAATAAAATTACCCGGAAATCTGTTTTATAAGCACCAAGAAAGGGAGAGGTGGACACCATAGGGATTTCAACCGGAAATTTTCGTCGATGTTTCGTCCGAATTTTCCCGTGCAAAAGCCATCATTATTGATCAATGGGGTGCCCCCCCCCTTGAGAGTTACAAGTGGCTTTTAACCCCATTCAATTAATTTCAAATGCATCCACCACAAATAAACCACAGTTGTTGTATGTTGTTGTAGTTTTGGACCAACTTAGCTATTTTGGGGGCCCCACATAGCTAGGTAAACCTTGGATGGGTAGTTCACTGTAATCCTTTCATCTTTTGCTATAAATAGGAATATCTACTAACCAACTAACAAACTTTTGTTTTGGCAGCGCATCTAAGATTGGCAATGATTGTAGGCATGTTTCATGTTTTTTTTTTGTGTGTGTATGCTTCCATGATGCCCTTCCTGGTTCAAGCTGATTCAACCCCAGCAGCTCAACCGGGGTAATGAAGATGCGACTGTCAGCATGGCTGATGCTGGCTCTGCATGTGAGTGCAAGCGGGGAGAGTGCGACTCAGCTGCGGAAATGGATAGGTTCCAAAGTCATGGGGGTACCCGCAAATCATCCAAGTAGACCATTTCAGTATTGAAATCTTTGGTGATTTGGGGATCCATTGAAAGAAAGCCTCAAATGAGGAAGTGACATTTTGTTTTTGCAATCTGGGCCCTCCGTTATTAGCAAAAAATGCAACAAGTTTTGTGAAATCCTGCGGAAAATGGTGATTGAACCGAGACAAGATGGGGGTGTATTGCAAAGTTGGTTTAGTTACAGTTCACTGCAATAATTTTCGGGCTTATGATGGGGGACAAAACGAACTAGACAATGGGGTTAGCGCCACGTTGTGCTTAGGGCGTTAACCTTGGATGGGCAGTTTATTGTTTCAATCTTTTGCCACAAATTGAGGAATTCAGGTAATGTGGATAAAACAATAATAGACCACCCCCAAAACCACCAGAATTAAATAGGTGGTATAAACCATTCCCAAATGGGTGGTTTATGGCATTGTTTTACCCACATGATAGTAGATCGAAGCGTTCTCACACCTACCACTTGGGCGTTTTCATTCCGCTAACTGGAATGGCGAGTGATCCCCTGTGGCTTTGGTCCTCCGGATCTTTCAACCCTAGTGGTATAATAATTTCCACATTGCCCTCCATAAAACTCTAACCCACCAACGAGCTAAGAGGTGGTATCTCCTACTTATGTTTGTTGGTTTAGCTTCCACCCATGATAGTTTGATATATATCTATCTATCTATCTATCTATCTATCTATCTATCTATCTATCTATCTATCTATCTATCTATCTACCATGACCCTAACAGTTACATGAAAGGCTATGTTCACCAACTTAGCCGAACTTAGCCAACAAAAATCACCAGCGAATTCCAATTCTTGTTGATGAAGTTCCAAGTATTGCTGTTTCAATGCGCCTTTTAATTCTGCAACCGTTGGGGGGTTCAGGGAGCTGCAGCTGAGGCGGCACACTTCGGACCGGGTGGCTGCGTCTCTGCCTGGCTCTCTGAAAGCAAGAGCTGTGTGGTACAAACCTCCTGTGCCAAGCTGCTTGGTGAATTCTGGTCGCTTAGGTCCCATCAGAATCTGGTCAGTGACTATTCCACTTGAGGGTTGTTGGGATTCCAAGAATTCCAAAGCATTGAACCAGCACATCCCCATCAAAATTGGCGTGGATGGTTTGTTGCCATAAACTTTGACTTTAGTGTTTCGGGTGAAACTGCAACATTTAGAGCGGGACTTTCAACCCCAAGACATGCAATATTTTGAACATATTCTCATACATTTTCATTCTTGAACCCCTACCGTATCTATTCTATTTTCATGGCTATGGCTATTACTGTAATTATATCCCATTCTCCGTTTTATCCCCGCTTATCCTTTTAAAGCACCGATTTTTTCACCATATTACTGTCTGCCTCATGGTGTTCCCATGTGTTTCCCGATTTTTACATTTTTTAAAAATGGGTGTTCCATTGTTTTTCCACATGTGTCCAATGTGTTTTTCATGTGTTTTTTCATGTGTTTTTCACTGCTTTTCCAAACTCTTATTTTTTTTGTTTGGGTTGTCCATTGTTTTCCAAGTTTTCCCAATGTTTGTCATGGTTCTTACCCACGGTATTTCCTGGCACCCCAAAAATCATGGCGGCCCAGGCATGCTGCGCAGCTGGCGAGCTACGCACTGCGCTTGGTCTGCGTGGGCCACGACGGTGGGCGGGTGCTGCACAGCTTTCAGGAAGGTACCTTTGATGCCGAGGAGCGGAAAAAACCTGGACAAAACATGCAGGATAGTGCCTTCCAGCTATAAATGGGCTGCTGAACAGCATTAACTATAGCTATATCTACCATAAACAATAGTTAAGCCACTTGTAAGGTAGCTATCTTGCGGGCCCCATCCTGTGGGATATCATGGGAACATGTTGGGAACATGTCGGAAAATCCAATATCAAAATGGAGGTTTCTAGCTGGGAAAATCTGGTGGAAGATGAGTAGTGGATCAAAACAATATGTTTTTTTTTAAATATATGGCTGGATAAGGGTGAGGCGTTCGCTTGTGACGCTGTTTATTTCGTCGCTTTTGACGTTGGTTTTCTCGTCGCTTGTGACGTACACCCCCCTACCCCAAACCCTAAAAGGTAAAACCATTGGCCTTGTCAGGCTTGGCACATTATTCGAAAGTCACTTAAACCTTAAACCCCCCTAAACCACCCCAAAACCCTAAAAGGTAGAACGTAGACCCTCAACCACTACCACTGCCTCCCACCCACAGACCCTAAAGGTAAGACCATTGGCATTGTCAGGTGCCGCTTTCGTGGATGGAAAACCGATTTGATCTACAACATAACCATTTATAGTCATCAACAAGTTCTATTTAACCATTAGATATAACCATCAAAACAGATTTCTCAATAGCATTTATGATGGCATTGTGCGAAAACAATGACCAGTAAATTCCGTTTAACCATCAAAAATCACGTGTTTAACGATCAAAAATTGAATGTGACGGGATTTGATGGGATTTCATTGATGGTATATCTATGAAGATATGACGAGCCCCGGATCATGACTCTGGAGATTTCATTAGGGCCCATTCGAAATGATGATTCAACAAGATATTCATGTGATATTTAGTCCCCCAAGATAACTAAGTTGGTTTATAACTCCCATATCTATGGTTTATAGGTGATATATCTATAGTTAATGATGCAATGTGATATTTAGTTTGGACCAAAGAAAGCAACTAAAAATCCAAAGTTGGATGATTCCATTGCCTGATCATGGCTTTTACTTATATGGGATTCTAGATTAACCAACTGGATGGGTAGAAACTAACCCTGAATCGTCTTTTGGCATGGGATTATCTACTAACTCACCAGCTAAGAATTGATTTTTTGTAGGGGATCTAAGATGGGCAGTGGGATCTGGTTGGTGGTTTGGAACCATGGAATTTTATGACTATCCATTCAGTTGGGAATGTCATCATCCCAACTGATTCATATTTTTCAGAGGGGTTAGCAGCAACCACCAACCAGGGATTCAGATGGGTTTTATTTGGATGTGGATTCCACAAATACCACAAGGTGGTGCCCCCCTAGTTATAAATTGGTTTATAAACCCCATTAACTATATTGATATATCACCAACAAAAACCATAGTTATTGGAGTTATAAACCAACTTAGCTATCTAGGGGGCACCACCTTGCAGGTGAGGTCCTCTAGATAGATTGACTATATCCCACTGATCTACCCAGTCTCAGTGGTCTTTTTCCCGCCCAATTCTTATCCAGTTTGGATGAAGTCTGAAGTAGATAGACTACAATGTGAGGCCCCCAAGATAGCTAAGTTGGTGAACATAACTCCAATTTCACTATGGTTTTTGTTGGTGATATATCTATAGTATTCATGGGGTTTATATAACCAATTTATAACGTTTGGGGGGCACCACATTGTAGGAGATTGTCAATGATATCTTCATTTTAGTGATCTTGTTTGACATGTCCATATTCTATTTGCTCCAGGATGAATATGAATATATATATATGTACATATTATCTGATTGGTGGTTTGGAGTATTTTTTATTCTCCCCAATAGTTGGGATGATGAACCAATCTGACGAACTCATATTTTTCAGAGGGGTTGAAACCACCAATTAGATATCATATAATGTTGGTAAAACAATTTCATAAACCATCCCCCAGGCATCACGTTTTTTTTTTAATATAATAGGTGGTAGGGAAATTCCATTCCCAGTCATGGGTGGTTTTCCAATGACATTGTTTTACCCACATTAGTGATTCTATGCTCATCTCCATATCTTTGCTGGTAAAATCACCATTTTTCTATGGTTTTTCCTATGGCTAATAGTTATTAATCAGTTATTAATCAGCCATTCTCGAAGGTTCCCAGCGGCTCGGCGCGTAGTGTGCACACCTCTTTTTTCGCACCAGCCGCACAGCGCCTTTCTCCAAGGATTCGATGATTTCAGTACCGCACAAGGCGGAAGTTTCAATAGGAAAGCTATAGGAAACCTAGTTTGACTTCTAAAGTTCCTTCGAAAAGTCATGATATTAATATCATGATATCAAATGATATCAATATATTATGATCATCCCAAGTATGAAAACACTGTCCCCTAACAACAGCATCCAAGAAACATACTGGAAACACCACATGTTTTGTTCTTGACTGAGTTAGGTGAGCATCGTTTGCCCAATGGCAAATCCCAGCACCACAAGCCGTAGCTAAGTTGGCTCGTAATTACCAGCAACTGGTTTATGGTAATTGGGGGTGCCAGTTTGCTGGGATTGAACTTCGTAATAACTTAGCATTGAGGTTTCCAACCCGATGAACGTAGCTAAGTTGGTTCGGAATCTACCCTCTGGTAATTTAACATAGCTATTGAAAATTGCCATTTATAGTGAGTTTTCGCATTAAAAATGGTGATTTTCCTTCCATAGTTATGTTAGTTTACCAGAGGGTAAGTAGATAATTATATTGAACTAGTTCATGGGGTTTATAACTCAAGTTATAGATTGGGGGTACCACAAAAAGATACCAGAATAGTGTTTCTTTCTTTGGTTGGCTGGGTTAGTAGATGTCACCATTATTGACAAATCCCTTCTTTTCTGTTTCTACAAGGCGGTGCGCAACCCCAGCTATGTTGGTTTGCAAACACCTTGAAGCACAGATACATCTACCATAAACCCAAGTTATTGAAGTTTGTGTTTGCCACCTTAGCTAACGAACTGGGGCACTACCTTGTAGAAATCCCATGAAATCTCCGTTCAACCCTTTGAAATCCCAGTATTTCCCAGTAAGTCTCATTAAATCACCATTAAGTATCATTATATAAATCCCATTAAATCTTCATCCATTAAATCAAATCCTGTTGAATCCACAATAGATCACCGTTAAATCCATTTTGTTAAAAACAACGAGCCCAGGAGACCTTCGACACCCACATCACCTGCCAACGTTGCGACTCCGGCGACGACGTGGAGCCAGTCACGGCTGTCGCGCCGGCAGCCCTGGCGAAGGAGAGAAGTTTGGCCGCTGGGCCGATGAGTTGCCTGGTTGGGGGGGTGGTACCTTTATTTTGGTACAGTAATATTCATTATAGATTATGGCGACTTTATACTTTTCAATTAGGTAATATTAATTATGATTTGTATATATATATATTATTTACACACACATATATATATATATATTATGGACATATCATGAATATTCCATCCAATCTCACATGATGGCTGGGATTCGGGGAATGATAATCGATGATAATCGTAGGTTTCCTGAGATGTTGAAGTTGGCTAGTAGGTTACCCTTGGATGGTCTTGGATGGGTACTTTTATCCTTCTCGCTATATATAAAAAAATAGGAACCAATATAATGATTATATACATATATATAATAAATATAATGATAATATAATTATAATATAATTAGGTCTTCTTTTATATATATATATATATATTAAATTTTATTGATAAATAGAATAAGCAGAATAATAACACTAAGAAGAACAATAAATAATGCGTGTAAAACAATCATAGCCATCAATAGGTGGTGTGTTTACCATTCCCAGTCATGGGTGGTTTACGACATTGTTTTACCAACGTTAACATATATATATATATATATAGTAAGTTGGAGCCAAGGCACCGGCCAAATAAGTCAATATGCCATGAACATTGCCAATCTTAGATACCCTACACAAAAACAAATTCTTAGCTGTTTACTAGACAATCCCATTGATACCAAAAAACTAAAGCCATAGAATTCACACGAATTCACAAAGTTACCTTCTGGTAAGCTAACATACTATAGAAAATCACAATTGTTAATGGCAAATTTCACTATAAATTGTTATTTTCAATAGCTATGTCGGTTTACCAGAGGGTGTATGCGTCAGCGTAGCTATTGTTTGGGGGGATGATTTGATGCAGTGACAATGTGCTTAACAAACAAAAAAGGATGCGTAATCCCTGAAAAGTGGTGTCATTTGAGATGAAAATAATCCATGGAAATTTCATGTATAGGGGATTAGCCATGGCCATGGCAGCTATGGCAGCTAGTGATGAAGCACACAAAAAGAATGTTTTAATTGGAAAAATGCATGGCAAACCCATAGGTAATCCTCAAAAAAATTGGAGGTTTTGTCAGTTCAAAACCAGCTTAAATCATCTATGAGTATCACCTTGTAGCTGGTGTTTTCCATATATCACTGCTACGTGGGGCCTCCAAGATAGCTAGTTGGTTCAATTATTGCTGCTGGGTTTATGGGAAATAAATCTATCGTTCAAAGAGGTTATGCAACTCATATTTGGGGCGCCCCACATTGTAAGATATACCCAGGCTACAACAAATCACAATCCTGACATAAGTCCAAGTAAGGTTGGTTCCTTACAACAAGTTCACCAAGCCGTATCCACGGTTTTTACTGTTTCGAAATGACCCAACAGTACATTCGTAGTAGAAGATCTCCTGGTGTGAAAATGGGGTACCACCAATTCCAGCAGATGATCATCAACGTCCATCTTCTCAAAAAAAAACATTGCAATATTGGGGCCTAGGGCCTAGCCTTGAGTTGGTGTATGTGTGTGTGCTTACATGCTGGTGTGACTTGGAAAGACACCAAGGGGTGAATGGGATTTTTTTGAACCAATAATCAAAAAAAAACGACAAGGGATCTTACTTACCCTGCAGGGTTTTCTGGTGCCGGGATGATCCATGAATATATTTAAGTTTACCCTCTGGTAATTTAACAGTTTGCTGTTGAAAATGGCCATAGAAATTGTTGATTTACCTATTAAAAATGGTTTTCCATAGCAAACTGTTAGTTTACCAGAGGGTATATAATATGGAAGGATATGTTTGGTAAATCTGGGCCCAGAGGTTTGGAATTCCATTCGGATCACCACAAGAAGACCCAGTTGTCGATTTCTTGAACTTCGTGAGCTGGACTGCCCAGCCGGTGATTTACAATGAGGATGCACCACACTATATGGGATCCGATCATGTTGGCAGCGACACAGGAGAACGTGAAGCGCTCTTCTGGAGTGCGCTATGGCGTCTGGCCCTAAATGCCAATGTCCCCACCACCCTTTGCCCGGATTCGGTCACTTCTGAGCTGCAGGGCATGGGTGTGTACGTGTACGGCGCAGTCGAAGCTTCTGCGTGCTGCCTTCCAGTCACTGGAATCAGCCTTGGGTCGTGCAGGGCTGTCCACATCGCATGTGAAAGGCCTCAGTGGAGATGCCTGGAATGACCTGGTGGACCTCTTAGCCAAACAAAAAATAGTGGATTTACCCATCAAAACTGATGATTTTCCATAGTTTTTTGTTTGTTTACCAGAGGGTGATCCAAGATTCGCCATTTGTTTTGCCACATTTTTTCTGATGTCCTGCAAGGTGGTTCGATATATCATGAAGCAAAGTGAGATTGGAGTGAACTAAACCAACTTAGCGATGCCGAACTGGGGCACTCTAGGTGGATATTGAATCATAGTTTTAGGAATGCAAAGCTTATATCATACTTATATCCCAACTTATGGGGGTTTAGTTCACCATGGTTTTAGCCATACAAGTAAATGCACATAGAAACCTCATCACCATGGTTGTAGCCATTTTTTGTTTTAGTAACTTCGCCCCAACTGCCACTGTTTCCCCCGGTGGTTTCGGCCGAACAAAACACCGTTGCGAGGTGACGGTGAATGCCTCAGAGTTGCAGGGTCTTGAGGAGGAGGTGAAGCTGCTGAAGAGCAGCATGGTCAGCATGGCCAAGGCGAGAAAAAAGGAATCAACTGAAATATGATAGATATGAATGGGATATTCCAAAATCATATTATTGTTATTTTCCTATTCGTATGATATATTCCATATTATTACTAGTTATATCTAGTTATCATTATTCCGCGTATAATATTATTCATACCTGCCTCTTCTAAAGTGGGCTTAATTTCTCTTGCCCAATAAATAGGTTTTGCACAAGAACGACCTTTTTGGGCAAACCAGAGTTTCAGTTTTCTGATATATTGCTGCCAAGCCCGTTTTTCAGCGGCGAAAATGCCCGACCAAATGGCGAAAATGCCCGACCACGTGGGCTAACAATTTCTCACAACGGCATTTATTTTCAGGAACGGCGTTTCTCCGCAAGAACCTCGACAATTCTAGTGTTTTTGAGCAGCGGCAGAAATAAGTACCATATGGAAGATCCAGGTATTGCTATATTCATGGGGCTTATTAATGGGATTATAATGGGATTTATTGGAAAAACATAGGAAACTTCCATTTATTACTACGACTATTATTATTTTTATTCCTATTTCATCCTATTTCTATCCCCATAGGATCCATGTATGGTATACATGCTAACATTGGGGGTATATTGATGGTAAATGTTACCATATATACCATACATGGATCCTATGGGTACCCATCTTGCAGGTGGTGGCGCAATTAAAGCTCCAAGTCACCTCCAAGTCCGCGGCGCAGCCACACGGCCTCCGTGGCAGTGCTGTGACCAATGCGACGGTGGCGGCTCCAGAAGCACGTCCCAAATGCACAGCTGGTGTCAAATGCATTTTTTTTGGGGGGGGATACCCCATACATGTCACCCAACTTCCCACCAGAAATCATGGGACATCTACTAGGTCAATCTTACATGGGTACAAACTAATCCTGAATAGTCTTTTGGTATTAATGGGAATATCTACGTGCACCAGCAAAGAATTTATTTTTTTGCAGGGTATCTAAGATTGGCAATGGATATATCGAACCAGTTCATGTTGATTATAAGCGATCAAGTTTAGGTCAAATTTGCATTTTTCAGCTCCAGTTTAGCCAATTTGAGGCTCTGAACATTCGAATGAACCATGTTTTAAGCTGTAAAACCTGCACTAGAAGGTGGTTCGGTTTTGGTGGCTATAACTTTAGTTATATTATATTGTGATTATAAACCAACAAACATAGCTGGCGGTTCCACTGTTCCACCTTGTAGATTTGCTGAAGAATATTCCGTTTCTCTTGTTTATACTCTACCTTCGGGGAATCTATTGGGAATATTGGTAGTTCTTCGTCATATAATGGTCCCGTAAGCAAGTGGTAATCCTTGGAGAGATTGGAGAGAGAAAAGAAACGTGGTCAATGATATGGCTTGTAACAAAAAACAAACAATCAGCTATAAATTGAAGGGTGTCAAAGCCTCCAGCCAGAGATACTTCTGGTGACCCCTAAAAAAGAAAGTTAACATGCTTGGACCCTACAGCTACATTGACCCCATTTGGAACACGTGGAAAAGCGTGCGAAAGTACCTTTGGTTTTGTTTGCAAGCATACACATCCCCATATTGACATTGTCTTACTTGCAGTAGGGTCCACAATGATCCATGTTTTGGTTCGATTATTTTAGTAATTAGTAGGCTCTTGCACTTCTATCATTTTGGGGGTCCTATGAGGGTCTTTACATGTCAATGCATATGGACCCAGAACAAGATCCAGACCGGCCTTTCCAACCAGATGAACAAAAGGCAATGGTTCTATTCATAAACCGCAAGCGAAAGGAGCTACTGTAGTACTTTTGCTACAAGATGGTGCCCCCTAGTTGGCTTAACCTCCATAGCAGATACATCTATAAGTTAACAGGGTTTATAGACCAGCACACTTAACTGGGAGGCACCGCATTGTATCCCATTAAATCCAAGTTTTAGTTGATTTCCCAGCTTGAAGCCTCCATTTATAGCAGATTTTAATATTTGTCCATGCTCTTTCTTTTCTATGGTTTCCATGGTTGCCCTGTGTGAACAGAGTGATAGATTCCTAGGGTTATCCAAAGCGCAAAATGGGTTGAAGTCATAGTAATAGTCGCTTTCAAGGCGTTTACCCGCATTAAACCCATATTTGCTGTGCATGATTTTCCTCAGTTTGGTTGCTTAAAACCAACTCTTGTCGGACACTAAATCGCAGATGAGTCTGCCATACTTGGGGGTGCATCCCAGTCACTAGATGGTTTATACATGTTTATAACCCAAAAACATACACACACATGTATACATATACATATACATATATATATATATACATATGTATATATATATAACTTTAGTGAACCGGGGAGGTTTAGTGAACCGGGGAGTTTGAAGAAAAGGAGACTATGATGGGTGATCGGTATAAGGCTATCAAGCAGAAATGGGAGATGGATTACGACGGATGTAGGTTCTTCATGGATTATGATGGGTATAAGTTAAAGGCTCTTCACCAGAAAAAAAGCTTACAGGGGCAGCAATGTTGCAGTCAGAAAACAAAATAAATGCCAGTCTCAGTGCTACTGGCATTTGACATTTTTTTTTTGAAAAGGATTCGCAGAAAATCTAGTCTAATCCAATAAAACGATTGAATAAAAACAAGATTTCCTCTTAAACACAAAGGTACCACATCTTTACTCAGCTGGTTGCCATCCCAAAATACTTTCCACTGGGACAGTTTATCAAGTGTTGCCACTGACCAAGACATTCCTCGCTACGAAGAATAGAATGAATCACATTCAATTCAAAATTGAATTTAGATTTTCTATGTTTACCCTAAGAAGAACAACTCTTTAAACTACATAAAATAATCAAGAGGTAAAATGTCAGAATATATATATATATATCAATTGGTGGTGGGTGGTGGTACTCCACATTAAAATTTAAGAAACAACATGTCAGAATATATGTAAGATTTTTGTGTCAGAGAAAAGGTCAGAATATATGTTAGTTGGTCTTACTCAATTAGTGATCTCCTAGAAATTAATTAAAACCCTTGTCAGATGGGTCCGCGCGCGCACCACAGTAAGCTTGTTTCGGGGTACTTAGGGGGGCGCGGACCCAAGGAAAACAGTTAAAAGTCTAGGCATTGGCTGAGTAAGTGGTAATCTGCGTTCAAATTTAAGAGACAACATGACAGAATATTTGTCATTTTTTTTTGTGTCAGAAAAAAATACTTGAATATATATTAGTTGTTCGGGGTCATCCAAAATAAAATATAAAGATATGCTAATAGAAATTCAAAAAATCAATGAGAAAAAAACACATAATAGTTTTTGAATAATATTCCAAAACCTCACGGGAAGGCTTCTACCTAAGCATGATGGAGGGTGTGCCCTAACATGATTCATGCTTAGGTGTTCTGAGAACACCTAAGCATGAGCAATCTTCAGGCTCCAGCCAGGGTACTCTGACCCTGGTCCCCCAATGGCAGGCATAGAGTACCCAGGCTGGAGCCTGAAGATTGCTCATGCTTAGGTGTTCTCAGAACACCTAAGCATGAATCATGTTAGGGCACACCCTCCATCATGCTTAGGTAGAAGCCTTCCCGTGAGGTTTTGGAATATTATTCAAAAACTATTATATATGTGTTTTTTTCTCATTTGATTTTTTGAATTTCTATTAGCATATCTTTATATTCTATTTTGGATAACCCCCACCAACTAATATATATATTCAAGTATTTTTTTTCTGACGCAAAAAGCTGACATATATTCTGTCATGTTGTCTCTTAAATTTGAATGCAGATTACCACCACTTATTCAGCCAATGCCTAGACTTTTAACTGTTTTCCTTGGGTCCGCGCCCCCCTAAGTACCCCGAAACAAGCTTACTGTGGTGCGCGCGCGGACCCATTGACAAGGGTTTTAATTAATTTCTAGGAGATCACTAATTGAGTAAGACCAACTAACATATATTCTGACCTTTTCTCTGACACAAAAATCTTACATATATTCTGACATGTTGTTTCTTAAATTTTAATGTGGAGTACCACCACCCACCACCAATTGATATATATTCTGACATTTTACCTCTTGATTATTTTATGTAGTTTAAAGAGTTGTTCTTCTTAGGGTAAACATAGAAAATCTAAATTCAATTTTGAATTGAATGTGATTCATTCTATTCTTCGTAGCGAGGAATGTCTTGGTCAGTGGCAACACTTGATAAACTGTCCCAGTGGAAAGTATTTTGGGATGGCAACTGGCTGAGTAAAGATGTGGTACCTTTGTGTTTAAGAGGAAATCTTGTTTTTACTCAAACTTTTTATTGGATTAAACTAGATTTTCTGCGAATCCTTTTAAAAAAAAATATTTTGTCAAATGCCAGTAGCAGTGAGACTGGCATTTATTTTGTTTCCTGACTGCAACATTGCTGCCCCTGTAAGCTTTTTTCTGGTAAGGAGCCTTTAACTTGTACCCATCATAATCCATGAAGAACCTACATCCGTCGTAATCCATCTCCCATTTCTGCTTGATAGCCTTATACCGATCACCCATCATAGTCTCCTTTTCTTCAAACTCCCCGGTTCACTAAACCTCCCCGGTTCACTAAAGTTCTTTATATATATATATATATATGTATAATATATATATATATATATTCCATCCGTATACCCTGGTGATAGTTTCATATAAAACTCTTATATAGTAGGGCTCCCGCGGATAAGTGCTATGCACTTCCAGATTGTATTTTTGATTTTCTGCAATTCTGCAGCTATTTGCAGACCTTCACACTATGTTTTACATTTGTTTTTTTCATTTTCTTACATGTTTTTTCAAAAATGCGATGGACAATATTGAACGCCCCCTGCGTTTTAATAAAATAAATGAAATCCCGTAAAAAGTGAGGGGACCTACTAAAATGAAATCTTGCAAATAAGACGTTGTTTAAAAACAAATGCTTGCCAACATTTAACAGGACCACCTCCCTCAAAAACATCTAAATTGTGTCTTGCAATTTGGGTACGCCCCCCCCTCCTTAAAAGAGTAGCGATTTTATAACCCATAAACATATAATATATGTATTGTATATATATATATATCCCATCCGTATACCCTGGGGATAGTTTCATATAAAACTGGTATATAGTAGGGCTGTTACCCGCGGATAAGTGGTACACCCAAGCACCGAGGTTCCCAACGTCACGGCACCAGTTCTTCTTGCGCCTGTACCTTGCTTGGTTTGGGTCCGATTTCTGGGGACGTTTATCACATGGGGATATACCGTTGCAACATATGATGGGATAGTAATCAGGTTTGCTCCAACCCATTTTCGGTAAATGATAGCCACACAAGGGGAGAACATTGTTTGGACCCTACAGCTACATTGATCCCATTTGGAACACGTGGAAAAGCGTGCGAAAGTACCTCTGGTTTTTGTTTGCAAGCATACACATCCCCATATTGACATTGTCTTACTTGCAGTAGGGTCCACAATGATCCATGTTTTGGTTAGATTATTTTAGTAATTAGTAGGCTCTTGCACTTCTATCATTTTGGTGGTCCTATGAGGGTCTTTACATGTCAATGCATATGGACCCAGAACAAGATTCAGACCGGTCTTGCCAACCAGATGAACAAAAAGCAGTGGTGCCTCCTAGTTGGCTTAGCTGGTGCCCATAGCAGATACATCTGTAAGTTACCCGGGTCTATAAACCAGTACACTTAACTAGGAGGCACCGCATTGTATCCCATTAAATCCAAGTTATAGTTGATTTCCCAGCTTGAAGCCTCCATTTATAGCAGATTTTAATATTTGTCCATGCTCTTTCTATGGTTTCCATGGTTGCCCTGTGTGAACAGAGTGATAGATTCCTAGGGCTATCCAAAGCGCAAAATGGGTTGAAGTCATAGTAATAGTCGCTTTCAAGGCGTTTACCCGCATTAAACCCATATTTGCTGTGCATGATTTTCCTCAGTTTGGTTGCTTAAAACCAACTCTTGTCGGACACTAAATCGCAGATGAGTCTGCCATACTTGGGGGTGCATTCCAGTCACTCGATGGTTTATACATGTTTATAACCCAAAAACATACACACACATGTATACATATATATATACATATATATTTCCCATCCGTATACCCTGGTGATAGTTTCATATAAAATACTCTTATATAGTAGGGCTCCCGCGGATAAGTGCTATGCACTTCCAGATTGTATTTTTGATTTTCTGCAATTCTGCAGCTATTTGCAGACCTTCACACTATGTTTTACATTTGTTTTTCATTTTCTTACATGTTTTTCAAAAATGCGATGGACAATATTGAACGCCCCCTGTGTTTTAATAAAATAAATGAAATCCCGTAAAAAGTGAGGGGACCTACTAAAATGAAATCTTGCAAATAAGACGTTGTTTAAAAACAAATGCTTGCCAACATTTAACAGGACCACCTCCCTCAAAAACATCTAAATTGTGTCTTGCAATTTGGGTACGCCCCCCCCTCCTTAAAAGAGTAGCGATTTTATAACCCATAAACATATATACATACATACATATATATATATATATATGTATTATTATATTTATATATATATCCCATCCGTATACCCTGGGGATAGTTTCATATAAAACTGGTATATAGTAGGGCTGTTACCCGCGGATAAGTGGTACACCCAAGCACCGAGGTTCCCAACGTCACGGCACCAGTTCTTCTTGCGCCTGTACCTTGCTTGGTTTGGGTCCGATTTCTGGGGACGTTTATCACATGGGGATATACCGTTGCAACATATGATGGGATAGTAATCAGGTTTGCTCCAACCCATTTTCGGTAAATGATAGCCACAAGGGGAGAACATTGTTTGGACCCGACAGCTACATTGATCCCATTTGGAACACATGGAAAAGCGTGCGAAAGTACCTTTGGTTTTTGTTTGCATGCGTACACATCCCCATATTGACATTGGCTTACTTGCAGTAGGGCCCACAATGATCCATGTTTTGGTTCCATTATTTTAGTAATTAGTAGGCTCTTGCACTTCTATCATTTTGGGGGTCCTATGAGGGTCTTTACATGTCAATGCATATGGACCCAGAACAAGATCAGACCGGTCTTGCCAACCAGATGTACAAAAAGCAGTGGTGCCTCCTAGTTAGCTTAGCTGGTGCCCATAGCAGATACATCTGTAAGTTACCCGGGTCTATAAACCAGCACACTTAACTAGGAGGCACCGCATTGTATCCCATTAAATCTAAGTTATAGTTGATTTCCCAGCTTGAAGCCTCCATTTATAGCAGATTTTAATATTTGTCCATGCTTTTTCTATGATTTCCATGGTTGCCCTGTGTGAACAGAGTGATAGATTCCTAGGGCTATCCAAAGCGCAAAATGGGTTAAAGTCATAGTAATAGCCGCTTTCGAGGCGTTTACCCGCATTAAACCCATATTTGCTGTGCATGATTTTCCTCAGTTTGGTTGCTTAAAACCAACTCTTGTCGGACACTAAATCGCAGATGAGTCTGCCATACTTGGGTGTGCATCCCAGTCACTAGATGGTTTATACATGTTTATAACCCAAAAACATATACACACATATAGACATATATACATATATATATATTATATGTATTATATATATATATATATATTCCATCCGTATACCCTGGTGATAGTTTCATATAACACTGGTATATAGTAGGGCTCCCGCGGATAAGTGCTATGCACATCCAAGCACCGAGGTTCCCAACGTCACGGCACCAGTTCTTCTTGCGCCTGTACCTTGCTTGGTTTGGGTCCGATTTCTGGGGATGTTTATCACATGGGGATATACCGTTGCAACATATGATGGGATAGTAATCAGGTTTGCTCCAACCCATTTTCGGTAAATGATAGCCACAAGGGGAGAACATTGGTAAATTAAGTTAAGTTGACCTCTTTATCTAGCATCTTTTCCCCATGTATCTGTGGTCTTGGGAGTCACCATCTTGATAGCTTCCTCTAAAGGCATCTACACAGGTGCTGAAGCCTCCAAGGATGGCAATTTCCCACGAGTTTCCCATGCTATTGGGGTTTCTTAGGGGGTTTGGTATGGGATCTTGGGGGTGCATTCCACTTAGTAAATGGCGTATAACACCAGTGATATGTGGAATATGGCTGCTTGGTGATTTGGAACATGCATTTGTTCACTTTCCATTCAGTTGGGAATGTCATCATCCCAACTGACTTTCACTCATATTTTCAGAGGGGTAGGTATACCACCAACCAGATGGAATACCCCCACTTATATACATTTATATACTATATAGGATGATGTATGGATTATAGACAGATTATAAACTACCAAGTGGGATGCACATCTAAGAGGGAAGCGAGGGCCACAAGATTTTTGTTTCATGATCCGTTGTGATCCTGTCCGGTGGATTCGGAATCCTTCACAACTGGGCCACACCCCAGAAATCCACACCCCAGTTACAACTGGGCCCCAGAAGGCCCCCAAAAAAAGGATGGGGGACACTAAGCCACACTGAAAAAAACCTATACTTATGGCGGTTTACCAATTATAAGAGCTTGTAACGTGTTATTTCTATGGGATTATATATGCCATAATATAGGGTTTTGTTAGTACTTATAACTGGTATTTCGATGTATTTCGGGCCAAAACTGTTTGGGATTGAAAACCGCCAAGTATAGCCTTGTAAAAAAAATGGTGGCCATTCCGGGTACCTAAACTGGAGGTACTGTAGCATATAAGCCATGTTGCAGTGGTAAATTCCCTAGCCCTTACATAAACCTTATCGATATATATATATATGGTAGGTAGCCCCAATTTTACGTACCTGAAATGGCCTCTGACATAGATTTAATGCCATTAAACATCAGTAAGCCACAATGAATTCCCAATCAATATATATGTTTTACCAGTAGTACCGCACAAGGCGGTGGCGGAAGTTTCAGAACAGGAAACCTATAGGAGACATTGGTTGTTGTGAATCACGGATGGCAGAGCGAATCCACTGATTGACCGAAAGGTGGTTGGAGTATGTTGGAGTTGTGTTTGCTGGAGTGGTTGCAATGGTTGCAGTGGTCACCTCACCCACAACTGCTGGAAGTAGTGTGATGTACTGCAACTGTAGTTGTAGTTGTAGCGTAGTGGAGTTGTAGTTGTGGTGTAATGTAATTAGTGTAGTGTAGTTGCAGTCATATAGTTGTAGCTGTAGTTGTTTTGTAGTAGTAGTTGTTGTTGTAGCTGTAGTAGTAGTTGTTGTTGTTGTAGTTGTTGTAGTTGTAGTTCTAGTTGTAGTTGTTGTGTAGTTGTAGCTGTAGTAGTAGTAGTTGTTGTTGTAGTTGTTGTTGTTGTAGTTGTTGTTGCTGTTGTTGTAGTTGTAGTTGTAGTTGTTGTTGTTGTTGTTGTTGCTGTTGTTGTTGTTGTTGTTGCTGTTGTTGTTGTTGTTGCTGTTGCTGTTGTTGTTGTTGTTGTTGTTGCTGTTGTTGTTGTTGTTGCTGTTGTTGTTGTAGTTGTTGTAGTTGTAGTTGTTGTAGTTGTAGTTGTTGTGGTTGGTGTTGTTGTAGTTGTAGTAGTTGTTGTTGTTGTTGTTGCTGTTGCTGTTGCTGTTGCTGTTGTCGTCGAAGTTAGGGTAGTTAAGTTAGTGAAGTTAGTTAAGTTAGTCAAGTTAGTTAAGTTAATCAGTGTCTACTGTTTCGACATCTTCACGTCAAAAAAGGTTCAAAACCCCCAGTTTTTTTACACTTTTGACTTCGAAATGTGCTTCGCGCCACAACGGCGTGCACTTTTTCGACACTTTTTCGACATCTGAACCTCCAAAAGTGGTCCGAGAATGGTGTGTTTTGTACATTTTGACTTCAGAATGTGCTTCGCGCCACAACGGCGTGCACTTTTTCGACATCGCAACTTCCAAAGTGGTCCGAACCTGGTGTGCTTTGTACATTTTGACTTGGAAATGTGCTTCGCGCCACAACGGCGTGCACTTTTTTGACATCTCAACTTCCAAAAGTGGTCCGAAGCTCGCGCCACAACGGCGTGCACTTTTTCGACATCTCAACTTCCAAAAGTGGCCCGAGACCGCCAGTTTTTAACACTTTTGACTTCGAAATGTGCTTCGCGCCACAACGGCGTGCATTTTTTCATCGCTCCTGTGGCCAGCTGGGCCCCGCCCCCGCCCGCCGCTTTAGCGAGCCTACTTTTCGACCCTCCGGAGCCACAAATCATTGGAAAAACACCGTGTTTCGCGACTTTCCTACCTTTTCGCGCATCTGTATCTCCTGTCCTCTTACTCTTTCTCTTCTGATCTTCTCTCTTCTAATCTTCCTCTTCTCTCTGCCTCTGCCCTGCTCTGCTTTTCATCTGTCCATATTGTCGGAAGTTTGACTTCTAAACTTCCTTCGAACATTAAATTCCCATTAAATTCCATTATATCCCATGAAATTCCCATTGAACCCTGAAAGGATGGTGCCCCCCAGTTTCATCCACTCATAAAGCATCTGAACGCTATCCAACGGGGGCCCCATTCTGCATTAAATCACATTATATAACCCCATTGGATCACCATTAAATCCTATTAAATCACCATGAAATCCTCGTGAAACCCCATTAAAGCACCATTAAATCACCATTTTCCCATTCCAAGGGCCTCAGAGCAAATCGCACAAGGAGATCAACACGAGTTTCTTTCTCCGCGAAGCTCTCGCAGCCTCTGCCAACACAACGAGATCGGCGGCTGGGCCGGCTCCGCCGATGAGAGTCACTGGCATTGGGATGCAGGGTCATGGTGTAAGTGTGTTTACAAGGTGGTTTCTTGGTTTATAACCCCCATTAAGCATAGGTCTGGCATAGGTATATCTACATCATAAACCCACGTGAAATTGGAGTGATGTTCACCAACTTGTCGCGATTCCGAACTGGGGCACCACCTTGTTGCAACATACAAAGCCCATAGCTGGGGAACATGTGGGACAATTGGGACTAATCAATTAATGGGAAGTAATGGAACAAAATAATGGAATGATAATTGAATTAATCACGAAAGATTATTATATACTGATAATTAATTAATGAGATAATGAGATTGATGCTGCCCCGCACCTTGTGTTTTATAACATCCATTAACTATCTATCTGTCTACATACATACATACATACATACATACATGTATACACTGTAGGGCCCCCAAGATTGTTGAGTTGGTTGATAGCTACAATAACTAGGGTTTATGGTGGTTATAACATGTTATAACCATAGTTAGGTGAGGTTATAAACCAACTTAGCAATCTTGGGGGCTCCACATTGTACCTATCTACCATTCGAATACGGGTTACGCGTTACGCTATCAGCCATCTTAGCTAAGGTTTATCCTACGAACCGTGAATGGGTTGTAAGCCTAGTTATAAGTGGTTCCCAACGATGACATAATTGACATATGAGTTTCTCTGAAATTGGTTTTATCATGTACTGTACATTATTAAAATCTCAAAAAATAGACACGCTAAGCCACATCAAACCCGTGATCAGACAGATCCAAATTGAATAGATTGAATATCGATATGCTGTAGTTTGTTAGCTAGGTTAAATCTCGTTGTATCCCCACAAGGTGATCCCCCCAAAACGTGATGCCTTAACGTTGGTGAACATAACCCCCATGAAGTAGTTCAGTATACCCTCTGGTAATTTAACGTGGCTATTGAACATGGCCCAGTCGAAATAGTGGATTTTCCCATTAATAGCATGGTGGATCTTTCCATGGCGAACTGTCAAATAACCAGATGGGATCTACCATGCTTACCCAAGTGTTTATAAACCCCATTAACTAATATTAACTATAGACATATCACCATATATCACCAACAAAAACCATAGTGAGTTATTGGAGTGAACTGTGAACCCCAACAAGAGTCGCGATTTAGCGAACACAGGGGCACCACACTGCACGATCCATCTATCCATCCTCGGGGATTAGTTTTACCCCGGGAATCCCGGGAATCCCGGGATGCGCTGGGAACACCCCGAGGAAACCCTGAGGCTTTCGGGGGTTTCGCTAAGAAACACGTGGGTGTGTTTTTTGGGTATCCCTGACAATCCAGTGGTTAGGAGGGAGCTAAGGAGCTATGGGTATTCATATTCCCTATTTAATGGGGAGCTAAGGAGCTACCAAGAGTTTCCCAGCCACATACTAGGCCCTGGAACAGAAAAAACCTTTTAGTAGCTATCTATCAATAGGGAAAATGATGATCCAATGGATCTAGGGGTACCGTACTTTCAGACACACCTATGTGACTATGTGTTTTTTTTTACGTGATCTAGGTTAGCTAAGTTGGGTCTTTGGTAGACATCTCGAATCAATTTTTCAGCGGACGAAACGTGATTGCCACTTTGCCGTCACTGGGGGCACGAGCATTGTCCACAAAAATCATTTGTTGCTTCAATCTGTTTCTGGTTGGTGGTTTGGAACATTTTTTTCCTTTTCATATATGGGATAACCCTTCCCATTAACTCATATGTTTCAAGACAGTTAAAAACAACTAACCAGAGACTATATCTATATAATATAATCATACTCATGGGATATCATATAAAACTAAATCATACAAGGTGGTGCCCCCTAGATAGCTAAGTTGGTTTATAACTCCAATAACTATGGTTTTTGTTGGTGATATATCTATAGCATTCATGGGGTTTATAAACCAATTTATAACGTTTGGGGGGCACCACCTTGTAATAAATCCATGAGATCCCAATGGAAATTGCTTCCAGCAGCTTCCCAGTCAGGTCCAGGCACCTAGTGGCACCAGTGGTGCACTGAACCCAACAGCTGCGCTGCGGACGCTGCGGAAACGCGGCGCCAGCTTTTTGGGTACCTTGGCTCGTATGAACAACATGAACATTAAGATTAATGTGGTTAAAACAATATGACACCACCCATTTGGGAATGGTTTATACCACCTATTTACTAGGTCAACGAATTGGTAAATCAACATAGACCCTGAAAATAGCATTTGTTTAATGGAAACTACTCTTCAGACCCCTATTTGCAGGCAAACCAGCATGAACATTAAGATTACCTTCCGGGATTATGGATACAAGTTGCTTAACTATGGTTTATGGTAGATATAATGGTTGATAGGGTTTACAAACAAATTTATAAACTGATTAATGTGGTCAAAACAAGAAGAAACCACCCATTTGGGAATGGTTTATACCCATAGAGTTCTTTGATTTACCTACAAAAAGTTGTTATTTTCCATAGTGATGCTAGTGGTAATATCAAGCCAGGAACAATAACTGTTTGGTCGTTCTTATCGGGAGGGTACCTTGATAAAGAGAAATATCACCAAAGTAATAAACTGGGGGCATCTGGTATCTCAAGGTTTACTAACCTGGAGTAATTAAACATCAATGGTGAATTAACAAGTTGAAGCCGGGACAGAATGTCATTATTGATGTGGATATGATGGAATTTAGCTAGCCAACTTCATATCAACATATCAATATCCAATTGAGTGTGTCTGAAAATCGTGTACTTTTAATCACCACCCAAATTGGATATTGATATTCAGACACACCCAAATGGATATTGATATGTTGATATGGATATTCCCCATTTCATATTCATACCACCCAAATGGATTAATTACCGCCATTTTATGGCAATTTCAATGGGGAGGATAAGCCATTGGACCTGGGAGTGATCCATTTTCACTACCGGGCCGTACATGATCTGGGTATCTTTTAAAGTCTCCAGGGGTACCCTCTGGTTATTTAACATAGCCGTGGAAAATGGCCCATTTATAGATGATTTTCCCATTTAAACCTCCATGTATAAGGGATTTTCCATGGCTATGTTAAATAACCAGATGGTAACCTGAATGTTTGATGATGCTGAAACCCCTTTCTTTTACTGCTCGAACTGTGTCAAACCATGATTTTTGTACTGATTAGATCCCCACGGTTGCTGTGTAAACTAGGTCAATCGGCTGGATGGGTAGAAACTACCCTCTGGATATGCAACAGTTTGCTAGTGAAAATGGTGATTTATAGTGGATTGACCCATTAAAAATAGTGATTTTCCAGTTCGGTATGTAAACGTTTACCAGAGGGTAATCCGGAATAGTCTTTTGGTGTCAATGAGATTATCCATTATTAACCATTATTAACCATTAATTATTACATTATTAACCATTATTAATGGGATTATCTACGTTCACCAGCAAGGAATTTATATTTTTTGCGGGGTATCTGGCTGGCCATGCGAAGTCAAACATATCAACTCCAAGAATCGCAAGTTCAAAGTTCTCGTCATATGTGTTGCTTCCTCTCAGTGAAAAAAAACATGTTTTTCTTGGCTGAAAAATCGTTTTTTTTTTTTAACTGGTAAAATCCAACTTGTACAGCCAACCTAAAAATTCGTTCCACATACAGAATTTTTGATCAAGAATCCATATCTGGTTGCTGGTTTGGAACATTTTTATTGTTCTATATATTGGGAATAATCATCCCAAGTGACTAATTTTTTTCAGAGGGGTTGAAACCACTAATAATTTTCTATTGATCAAATACCTCTAAATCCGTATATGTTCCTTCATTTTCACGTCTCAAATCCAATGTTTTACCTGTTATGAATGTTAAGTTTTTTTCCTAGATTCTCAGTTTTGGCTGAATCATGTTTTTTACGCATCACCCTCCCAAGTATATAACATGACAAAGGCTTGGAAGATTAGTCGCCACTAAAAGCTGGCAGTTTGCAGGGTCGATATGTTCATTTCCTGGAATCTAGTCCTACCCATTCACTATATCATACATAGTTCTGGGTAAATTATAACGACCTCACTGCGACCTCACTGGAAATCATAGTTAGTAAGGGGAATCATCCCCAAATGGCCTTAATTCAGGTTAGTGAAATATTTTAATTTACCCAGATAGTTATCATACTTGGTGGCTCATCCCACGGCTCGTAAGTGGGTTATAACCCCAGTGATTAAAAAATAGGATAAGTAGGGTTAATTCATTCAAAATTTGGGGTGAACTAACGCACTTACTAAGTGGGATGAGCCACCAAGTACATAGTTGCTTAGTTATATGATATTCCACTAAATAGCTTCCATAAAAAGTTAATTTCCATGAGCACTTCTCATTTGTTTAATGGTGAACGATTTCTACAATGGTGATATGAATATCCATGATATGCACAAAATAACGTATGATGTTACATGTATACATGTTTATGTAAATATCATGATTGAATATGATGAGTATTCAGAATACCGAATTTAATATCCATAGTTTGCATAGTTTCCTCATTCATGGTGAAATCCATTGTCTATATTAATGAAATCCTGGTTAATGATTTTTTTTAATCGTGAAATCATTTTCCATTATATGTATGTATATTATGTATATATATATATATATATTTATTTATTTATTTATATACATATATTATGGGTATAAATAACATGCTTCACCGCCCCCACACAGTGTTTTCAAGTATTCTTGTTGTGCACGTGTCAGAGATGTTGTGCACGTTTCCCAGAAGTTGTGCACGTTTCACAAACACCCTAATAACGTTTGTGTTCAACTGTATACACACGTTTCGCGCATTCTACTATCTGGTTATTTAACATAGCCATGGAAAATCACCATTTTTAATAGGTAAACCATCTATTTCAATGGGCCATTTCCCATGGCTATGTTAAATAACCAGATGGTAATCAGCAAAAGCCCAAAGCGACCAAAGACGTTCTCCCGAAAAAAAGGATCGAATCCATGGTGGATCTCCACAAGTTGGTTCCCCCCACCGATGCTTGTGTTGGTTTATAACCCCCATGAAGTAGTTCGGTATATCTACCATAAACCCAAGTTATGGGAGTTATAAACCAACTTAGCTAACTATGGGGCACCACCTTGTATGGATGGCTAAAGTATAGGTATATCTACCATAAACCCAAGTGAAATTAGAATTCTGTGCGCCAACAAGTCGCGATTCCGAACTGGGGCACGACCTTGCATGATTTTAACTTATAAACTCCAATAGGATTACCAATACTGATTGATATGGTTATAACTCCAATAGTTATAGTTAGCTAAGAATGTGCCAATAATTCACCACTAAGGGGAGAAATAACTCCAATGGGGAACCATTCCACCACTTGCCTTGTTGGCGGACATGCCATCGTTCAAAACGATGTCATATGATTGTGAAACTTGCTCTAAATGGTTGGGAACCGAAAACCTAGAACTTCACCATAAATCCACGATACATCACCACCAATCGGCCATAAGATCACCATAAAATCACCATGAAGTACCATCAATATGGATAACCTATGGAAGGATAGTGATATATGATGATAAACTATACGGTAGTTCATAAGTCCCTATATAAACTGATTGTTGAGCCACCCAATGCCAGTGAGTATACTGATATATCAGAACTGATGACCTTGGTATAACCAAATAAATTATAGTAAATTGTATCAACCAATAAATTCAATTCGTTAAAAAATCTTATCATTATATAAACTAGTTATAAAGGGACTATCTTATAGATTATACTGGGGATGAATGATGAACCATAAGGTTTAGTTTCTAAAAATCAACTTATATATATATATATGTGGTATGTGACAACATATTATAAACTTTTTGTGGTCACATATAGTTTCTCACCATCTAAACTGTTATATCTCATCATTACACCATCATTATCCCATAAACTCTTATTTACTCTCTGGTAAGCATATACAAAAAACCTATGGACAATCACCATGCTATTAATAGGGAAATTAACTATTTCTATGACCATTTTCCACTTCGCAAACTGTTTGTTTACCAAATGATTTTCCATGATATGTTCCCAGGATTTTCCCATGATCATCCCTATGAAATCACCGAAAAAAATCCCCATGATTATCCCATGATCATTGCACCATTATCCCATGATTATTCCATGATTATCCCATTAATCACTATTTCTAGGTCAACCTTACATGGGTACAAACTAATCCTGAATAGTCTTTTGGTATTAATGGGAATATCTACGTTCACCAGCAAAGAATTTAGTTTTTTGCAAAGTATTTCCAACTATATTCCCATTAAAATCCTATTAAATCCCATTAAATCACCATTATTACACCATTATCTCATCATTATCCCATGATTATCCCATGATTATCCCATTAATCACCATGTATTTATGATCAACTTCCCACTATATTCCCATTAAAATCCTATTAAATCCCATTAAATCACCATTATTACACCATTATCTCATCATTGTCCCATGATTATCCCATGATTATCCCATTAATCACCATGTATTTATGATCAACTTCCCACTATATTCACATTAAAATCTTATTAAATCCCATTAAATCACCATTATTACACCATTATCTCATCATTATCCCATGATTATCCCATGATTATCCCATTAATCACCATGTATTTATGATCAACTTCCCACTATATTCCCATTAAAATCCTATTAAATCCCATTAAATCACCATTATTACACCATTATCTCATCATTATCCCATGATTATCCCATAATTATCCCATTAATCACCATGTATTTACGATCAATTTCCCACTATATTCCCATTAAAATCCTATTAAATCCAATTAAATCACCATTATTACACCATTATCTCATCATTATCCCATGATTATCCCATGATTATCCCATTAATCACCATGTATTTATGATCAATTTCCCACTATATTCCCATTAAAATCCTATTAAATCCCATTAAATCACCATTATTACACCATTATCTCATCATTATCCCATGATTATCCCATGATTATCCCATTAATCACCATGTATTTATGATCAACTTCCCACTATATTCCCATTAAAATCCTATTAAATCCCATTAAATCACCATTATTACACCATTATCTCATCATTATCCCATGATTATCCCATGATTATCCCATTAATCACCATGTATTTATGATCAACTTCCCACTATATTCACATTAAAATCCTATTAAATCCCATTAAATCACCATTATTACACCATTATCTCATCATTATCCCATGATTATCCCATGATTATCCCATTAATCACCATGTATTTATGATCAATTTCCCACTATATTCCCATTAAAATCCTATTAAATCCCATTAAATCACCATTATTACACCATTATCTCATCATTATCCCATGATTATCCCATGATTATCCCATTAATCACCATGTATTTATGATCAATTTCCCACTATATTCCCATTAAAATCCTATTAAATCACAATAAATTACCAGTAAACCGCAGTTTGTGAGGCGTGGACCGCCTCGATTCCGCGGAGCGCGCGGCCCTGGCCGCTTCGGTGGCGTCGGCGCAGAAGGAGGCGGAAGAAGCGGTGCCATGGCGGAGATTTTTCGGGGGCCCTGAGGAAAACCATGGGAAAATGCAGGTTTAATGGTGAATTTATCGGATTTTATGGGCTTTTCTGGTGATTTATTTGGGATTCAATGATGGTTTAATGGGATTTCATGATGGTTGAATGAACTACAATGTGAATGGTTATAAACCCGTCAGCAATTATAAAGGCTTTGAAATGGGCTTATACATTCCATACATTGGGTGACTTAATGACTTATGACTGGTATTTTTTAAGTGGGTTATAGCTTATAACCCGCATTCACACTAACTCAATGGGAATTCCAGGATCCTAAAATGGAGGTACGTTAGTACCATATTTTTGGCCATATTTTGGGGGTATATCCCCTTACATAGGCCTGAAAAATAGGCCTTATATATAGTAGGTACCTCCGTTTTAGGATCCTGAAATTCCCATTGACTAAGCATTGTGCCAACTAGGATGATCCTCCAAGTAACCTCAGCCAGAACTGCCAGGAAATCATCAGAAATCTGCCAGGAAATCATCCATGGGCCCATGGTTTTCACTTCGCGGGCTGCAAAAAAAACACATTTTTTTTGGATCAATTTGGCTAAATTCGAATTCCAACAAAAAAGAATCAATTTGTGAAATCACATTTTGTACACCAAAAACCATCCAAAAAACCATCAATGTTCAATGACCCAAAGAAGATCCCCACAAGGTGGTGCCCCCCTAGTTATAAATGATTTATAAACCCCATTAACTATAGTTATAAGTACCATGAACCATAGTTATTGGAGTTATAAACCAACTTAGCTATCTTGGGGGCCTCACATTGTAGCTATGTTAGTTTACCAGAGTGTATTCTTGAGGGCGTGCAGTGATTCCGCTGATTCTTTAGGTCCTCCCAACTGCATGGTGGTTTGTTAGTTTCCTACTACCCTCTGGTAAACGTTTACATAATGGAAAATCACCATTGCAATTTGTTTAGAAGCCCTTCGAATCACCATGAATTCCTCAAGGCGCTCCAGGCCGAAAAGGACGCCGAAGCCTTGACCAACACCGTGGCCGCTTGGCCGGAGACACAGGTGCTTTACACATGTGGCTTTTAAATGACTTAATGTGGTTAAACCACTATAAAGTCACCATAAAGTCACAGCAAAGTCACTAAATCATCATCATACCCCATGATATTGCCATGATCATCCCTATAATATCACCATTTGTAGTGGATTACCCTCTGGTAAACATACAAAAAACTATGGAACATCACCATTTTTACTGGATAAATATGGATAAATCAACTATAAATAGTCATTTTCAACAGCTAATAACTAACCGTTTGCGAACTGGAAAATCACAATCTTTAATGGGTAAATCAACGAACTAAATGGGCCATTTGCAATAGCAAACTGTTAAATTACCAGAGGGTAATGTGGGTAAAATTTGCTGCCATGCTTACCATTCCCCAGAAAAATCACCATGTTTATAGGTGGTATAAACTTACTATTCCCAGTCATGGGTGGTTTATGACTTTGTTTTACCCATATTAAGTTTCAAGAAATTTGATTTAACCAGCAAAAAACACATTTAACCAGCACAAAAACGTGAATTGACCAACAAAAAAATCGATTTGACTAGCAAAATGGGTATATCATTTATCAAAACAATGAATTTCGATCTAAAACAAATTTGGATTTAAACGTGAATAAATAAATAAATATATATATACAATATAATGATGGTTTGACCTGCACCAAATGATTTGTGAACCATCATACATAGAGGCTTTAAGCTGTCAAAATGGGATTTGATGAGCATGTAATTGCTGTTGTTCTATGCGATTATGTCATGGGTTTTAACATGTTTTAACAATCAAATGGCGATGCAATGTACAGAAGTTATCATGCAATTTTACTATGATCATCAGGATTGTTCCAATAACTCCAGGTATGTTTGGGTTAGATTTGGTTACCCTTTGGTAAACTAACATAGCTATTTAACATGTCCATTTATAGTTGATTTACCCATCAAAAAATGTTTTTTCTTTTTTTTTCCCTTGTTACGTTAGTTTACCAGATGGTAATAACGAGGTAAAGAAACGTATTTGAAGCCCTTGTGGCAATCATTTACCTACAACAGCTTGGGGCAAGCCTGACAGCCGGCCCCCCAAAGGTATAGGTACTTTAGTGGACAAGCACTTAAGATATGATTTTACACAAGAAAAAGTAAAGTTCTGAGACTACCACTATATTATATCAACACTGCCTCTTTACTATAAGTTAGGGCTTGGATAGGAACAGGGTTGGTAAAAGTGATTAGAATCTAGTAAGTGATAAGACCGGTAATTATTTCGAATCCCTGTAAACAGGTTTAGACGGGCTTAGCATGACCTATACAATAATTTTGCTGGTGAAAAACGGGTGCAAGTAACATCCAACGGAATTGATGTGTTCGATTTAATTGTTTAATAAATCATCATTTGATCACTAAACCATCAATTTGAATGTTTAATGTTCCATAAATCACAAAAAATCCATGTTTACCATAAATCTAATCACTAATGGTTTATGGTCACTAGTTGATGGTTTAATGTTTCCATTAATCATTTTAATGTACAAGGTGGTGCCCCCCTAGTTATAAATTAGTTTATAAACCCCATTAACTATAGATATATCACCTATAAAACCATAGCTCTCTAGGGGGCACCACCTTGTAGGCCATTGATCGTCCCAATGCCTTTTCTCAAATCATCACCTTTGCCAAGGACACCAAAGCCTGAGAACATCTGAGTGGGCAAAAGGGCGTGGCGTGCGGTGATGAATGGAGTTGAGAAACATGCTGGGAATATTTTCATGGGAATATATATTAGGAATATTTTTCTGGGAATATTAATGGAAATATCGGGAAGTTACCAGATATCATGGGAATAATTTGTCCACCTAATACATATCACGGAAATCAAGTTATCAGATGCCCCATATCAGGCGGCGTTGGTTGATAAACCCCCATGAAAAGTAGTTCGCTATATCTACAATGTGGTGCCCCCTAGTTATAAATTGGTTTATAAACCCCAGTAACTATAGTTATATCACCTATAAAACCATAGTGAAATTGGAGTTATGTTCACCAACTTAGCTATCGAACGGGGGCCTCACATTGTACCATGTCTAGCTAAGTGAAGTTGGAGCGAGTCCGAACCGGGCACCAGGGCACCACCTTGCACTCACAGGGGTACCCATGATTCGTTTCCCTGAAATGGTTGATTTACCCTCTGGTAAACGTTTACATAACTATGGAAAATCACCATGTTCAATGGGAAAATCCACTATAAATGGGCCATGTCCAATAGCTATGCTAAATTACCAGAGGGTATCCCATGATTCTACCACCAAGACGTGGTTTTGAAGGAGTTCTGGTTTCAGCCAAAAAAAGGCGTAGCACTTGTGATCGAAGACAGGCATGAACACATGAAAACTCATCAGCCACAGAGAAAACACCAGATTTGAGAAAAATGGGAGGAGTCTCACTTCACCAAACACTGCCAAACACATCAAGAATTGAGACATAATCGTGGGATTCAATGGATTGGTTTGTTGGGGAAAAGTTTAATCGGAAACCATGCTTTTTTCCATGAAATATGGTTAAGTTTCCTGTAATTTTCCTGTAATTTTCCAATCATTCACTTCTGTGTGGGATACATCCGTGGATTATGGATTTTGTTCATGAAATATTATATAACGGAATTACTAACGGGATGTTTTTTTTCGGATTGCATTGAAATGGGATTTGGATGAAGTATGATGAATTTCATCAAGAACTCACGGAGGTCGTGAAAAAGGGGACTATTTTCTGAGTTGGATCTGTAGAATCTATAAGCAACAAAAAACACAAGTTGGATTAACCCATTACCCTCTGGTAAACTGTTACATAACTATGGAAAATCACCATGCTATTCATGGGAAAATCCACTATTTCTATGGTGATGTTCCATAGTTATGTTAAATTACCAAAGGGCAATTGATATATGGATGAAGTTGAGAAAATGCCCGAATTTGCCGTTGTCCGGGGAATGGTTTTATTAGGGAATCATCCCGAGATGGCCGGTCACTTTTCAGCGCACGAACTTCTGGTTAAAAAATGACCACCAAAAAAGAATGCAAAATAGTGATACCATTTGGTAAATTAAGATAGAACCGTAAGAAATAACATCAAATAAGTTTTTTTTTTGTGGAAACGAATAACATCCAAGCCCGACGAATGGCAGGGTCTATGTTAACTTACCTCAGGGTAAATCCAGCATCAAATTAAAATCGGTTTGTGGTTTGGAACCTTTTTTATTTTTCCATTCAGTTGGGAATAACAATCCCAACTGACTTTCATATTTTTCAGAGGGGTTGAAACCACCAACCAGATTATAACCAATCTTATCCCACTAAAAAACCAGGTAACTTAGCAGGGGATCAAGGGGTGCAAGCAGGTTACGTAGCTCGAGCTTCACCTTTTCAGCAGGTCTGGCAAGCTTCCCTGAAGGTTTCAAGAATGGAACGGATACATGTAGTAATGCCCAAAACATGCAAACATGTGATTTGTCACTACTAAAAAAGATGGTGACCCAGTTCGTTAGCCAAGTTGCTTCATAACTCCAATATCTTTGGTTCATCGTGTGTAGTATGTATATATATATATATATGTGTGTGTGTGCTATATCTATACTCAACAGGATTTTAGTAGATAGGAATTGCCTTTTCTATCTGTGGGATGTTACGTTCTGTATAGCTTCGCGTTTTAGCCAACCGTGTCACCTCTCTAGTCGCCGGTTGGCTAAGAAGAAGAGAAAGAGCATCATCTCGCAACTGCTGGAGGATACGAAGCGCCTCTCGGTTCAATGGCCATGCAACCGGAACCAATTGATTGGAGGTACCTACAAGGTGGTGCCCCCTAGTTACAAATTGTTTTATAAACCCCATTAGCTAGTTCGATATATCACCTACAAACCCAGGTGAAATTGGAGTTATGTTCACCAACTTAGCTATCGAACGGGGGCCCCACCTTGTACCATATATACCATATATGTTGGGCCGCCCATTGTTTAGGCCTATGTTTTAGGGAATCTCCCAACAATTCATATGGCCAGACATATGGGACGTTTACGTACCGCGTTGATCGGTGTCAACGAAATCGGTGAGGTGGTGCCCCCCCAGTGTTGGAGGTGTTGGTGAGAAACAACCTTAAGTAGTTCGATATACCCTCTGGTAATTTAACATAGCTATTGAACATGGTGATTTATAGTGGATTTACCCATTAATAGCATGGTGATATTCCAGTTCGCTATGTTAGTTTACCAGAGGGTATCTGTCAGCCAAATGAAATTGGAGCTATCAACAAAACGCGAGTCCAAACTGGGGCGCCACCTACAGTTTAGAAACTGGAAGCCATGGTCCCTGTAGTTGGTTTAGAAAAACTGCCTGAGAAAAACTGCATTTGATTTTCCATTCAATGGCCATTTCAGGAACCAATTGATTGGAGGTACCTACCATATATAAGGCCTATGTAAGGGCTATGTAAGGGAATATCCCCACAAAATATGGCCAAAAATATGGTACTAACGTACCTCCATCAATTGGATCCTGGAATTCCCACTGATCCATGGGCAGTGTCGCCTGGCTCCTTGCTTTCAGGAATGGAGAACCCCAACGAAATCTTCAATGTCCCTCGAAGTATGTCGGTATGACCGGTATGGCGTCCGCCCGGGAGGGCCCAGATGGCAAAGTTGGGGGATAACCCAGCAAGAGATTCATCTGGGTAAATTTGATCTCGACCGAACCCTGTTCTCCCGAACCCTGGAATCATGGTTAGTAAGATATAAGGGAAATCATCCCCAAATGGTCTTAATTCATCTTAATTCAGTGAAATGTTATTAAATTTACCCAGATTAATGGTGATTTTAGCTTAGCGGTTAGTTGATTTATTTTGATTTACAATGTGGTGCCCCCCTAGTCATAAATTGATTTTTAAGCCCCAGTAACTATAGTTATATCACCTTTAAAACCATAGTTATTGGAGTTATGAACCAACTTAGCTATCTAGGGGGCCTCACATTGTACAACTC